TTGGTCACACAGAAACTCTTTAACACAGGAAGGACTGTTTGATTTCAAGTTTAGTGGTGAAAATACAGTAACATTTTGGATTACTTGTGGATTATTGTGATGTTTTATCAGCTGTTTAGACTCTCATTGTGACGGCACCCATTCACTGCAGAGGATCCATTGGGGTGCAAGTGATGGAATGCTAAGTTTCTCCAAATATGATGAAAAAAATTGATCAAAAACTAAATTTTGGATGAACTGAGGATGAGTACATTGACATTTTTAGGTGATCTACTTCTTTAATATATTTATGGACCATAGTATTTATGTATGCAGTTTATGGTATATGTCCATGATACTTTTTGGTGCCCTTTGGTTAGTGGTTACTTGTGAGCTTTCCTTCCAGCTGTAGTTATGAAGTAAGTGTGCAGTCAGACAGTCCCCGTCTCTCTGTCCAGAGCTCACAGCAGAAAAACAGCAGAACCACAATCCGCTCTTGTCTGTTGAAGTGAATCTGGATGCTAAATCAAGCCTTTTCAAACGCTGCATGGAAAATCTGAGCCACACGTGAGAGCTACTTCATATTCCAGCGGCCGTCCTGCCGTTCGTTTTTCCAGCAATCAGGCGCAGAAACACTGAAGCCTGTGTGGAAATCATCTTCCTTCTGCAATCAATAAACTCAAATAAATACATGAAGGAACGACATACAAATAAAGAGAGAAATCTCCAAAGCAATACGTGACCTTTTGTAACTGCTTGTCCATCATGTTAAAGTTTGTGTGGCTGTAAGTTCATGAATATTTAAAGTGGTCATATGACGTTGCTAAAAAAGAACATTATTTTGTGTATTTGGTGTAATGAAATGTGTTTATGCGGTTTAAGGTTCAAAAAACACATTATTTTCCACATACTGTACATTATTGTTTCTCCTCTGTGCCCCGCCTTTCTGAAACGCGTCGATTTTTACAAAGCTCATCGGTCTGAAAAGTGAGGTGTGCTCTGATTGGTCAGCTATCCAGTGCGTTGTGATTGGCCGAATACCTCAAGCATGTGATGGAAATGTTACGCCCCTACCATACTGTGATGCTCTGTCCGGCCGGAGCGCCAAGAAAAAAACATTAAAACCCATTATAAACGAGGCATTTGTTGCATCCAGTGGGGACATAATTACTGATTATAATGACTTATACTGTCTTTTTACGCGTTGCGTTGCGCCGCGCCGCGCCGCGTAACCATAAAACTATGTCTGCATTTGTGATCGGAGAAATGACAAACAACAAGCGCTACTCTACACTGCTCAAAACTCACGTTTGAATCATCAGTGGAAAATCCTTTAAATATGAAAGCGTACTTACAGTCTGTGAGTCACCATTATTTGTCAGAACACCGGCATTGTAGGCTACTCTCAGGGAACAGTCCTCATCCTCCGTAAAAAGCGTTGCCCACACACGAATATTTGGGTTTGAACTGTTCTGGAACAGTGTTGTACATACAACTTAACCACTGATTTCTAGTTGTGTCCTCTTTCGGAAGGCCAAACAAAGTAGTTTCCAGGGAACAGTCCTCATCCTCCGTAAAAAGCGTTGCCCACACACGAATATTTGGGTTTGAACTGTTCTGGAACAGTGTTGTACATACAACTTAACCACTGATTTCTTGTTGTGTTCTCTTTTGGAAGACCAAACAAAGTAGTTTCGCTTTCACAACAAAACAGCGTCTCCACAACATGGTGGTGGCGGCGGCAACAATACTACAGTGAGAATAAAAGTTACGCCTTCTTTCTTTGCGTGAACATTTGGGCGGCGTTATGCAAATCTTCCCACACAGTGACGTAGACATGTGGGGGCGTGTTTAAACGAGGTGTTTTAGGAGGGTGTGGACGAGTCTTAATTTTTATAAAGAATATCTCTTTGGGTTTGAGACTTTAGTCTTTGCAACTTTAGGGATCTTATCTATTCACAAACAGCTTGCAACACTCCAAAGAGAAAGGAAAACTTGAAATCGCACCATATGACCCCTTTAATGTGGCAAGCATTGTTTAGATTATGATTGGTTGTCTGATGCTAAACAACTAGTTTTTTGTGTAACCCTGCAATCTGGGTTAAAATAAGTGCTAAAAGTGCTTCAAAAGTGAAACTTCACTTAACCCAATATTAAAAAATGGACTTGACTTGAGGTAAAAATATGTTAATTTAGCATTAAGCATGGTGTGAATATGCTTAAAACTAAGCTGCAGAAACAGTGTGTACAGAAATGATTTAGCATCTTAGCAGTGGCATTATAATTCATTTTGCATGCAATTAAAAAAACTCATCATTTAAAACAATGATTATATACATAATCTTTTTTATGTATTATTATAAAAATGTATATAATGATTTGATATTTTATTCTATTTTTATGTGCATTCGACAGACACTTTTATCCAAATCAACTTAAATTCATGGTTGGTTTGTTTGTTTATTTTTTATATTTATTTAAATTTAAAATCAGTTCATGGATATCCTGGGAAGTTGAACCCATGATCGTGTTTTACCTTTTGGGCTAAAGGTATTCAATTATTTTTTATTATTTATTTGTTTATAGATGTTTTTGCTGTCAAAAACAGAACTACGACATACTTACACAATCAAATTTGCATCTTGATGAATATGAATCCCTTAATTTAAATGAATGATTACATACATATTTTTATTAATATAGTTAAATATGTAAATATTTTATCTTAATTTGTTATTTTTGTATGTATTTGACAGCCACTTTTATCCAAAGCAACTTGAATTCAAGGTTAATTTATTTATTTATTTCATTTTATGAATATTCAATGACCTTGGTGTTCTAGTGTTGGGTGTACAAAAATTAAATTATCAATTATTATTATTATTTTTATTAATTTATAGAAGTTGTTACTGTCAGAAACAGGACTATGACAGCACACTTACACAATCAACTTTGTATACAACTTTGCATCCTGACCAGGATAAACTCAGATAAACTAAAATAACCTTACGGCAGAAGTTTTTCTCTGATTTCTCAGCTGTTAACTGTCCAACATCTCATGACTGGGAGCTGAAGATATTCCTTTCCATTGCAGATGCTTGAACAAACTTTCTGAGACCTTTACACAACCCGATGTAAATCTGCTGAAAATACACACGTCCCTCAGTGACTGACACACATGCCAGAAGAGCACAGCGCTCCGCTTTCATTCACTTTCCGCTGATAATGTTCAGATTTGTTGCCATAGTTGCACACACACTCACACACACGTTTGTTTTTGTGAATTGTGGGGACATTCCATAGGCGTAATGGTTTTTATACTGTAAACTGTATGAGCTATTGCCCTACACCAACCCTACACCTAACCCTACCCCTTACAGGAAACTTTCTGCATTTTTACTTTCTCAAAAAAACTCACTCTGTATGATTTCTAAGCGTTTTGAAAAATGGGCACATGGGGTAATGTCCTCATAAGTCACCTTCTCCTTGTAATACCAATGTCATACCAATGTCATTATACAAATTTGTGTCCTCATATGTCACAAAAACGTGCACACCGTGTTATGTAACATGATGATGTGTAAGAACGCCTCCTATTAGTGAGGAACTGACACAATGATGACTTTAGCAGAGGCTCTTTAACAGTGTTGACGGTGAGTCGAGTAAAACTCCTCCTCCTCACTTACACAGTCTGTCTGGAATGGACAGATGTTTCCTTCTGGGAACAGTTCTCACACACACACACACACACACACACACACACATACACATGTGCCTGACGCCTGTCTGTTGTACAGATTGCGTTATTGGTTTAATTGATTGGTATGTTAATGGGAAAGACTGATGCTGATTGGTCCATTATTCTGATTCTGTTTGTACTTTGCATCATGGGTGATGATATATGTGAACTCGAGTCTAAGAAATATACCGTTTTAATAATTAATTCTTTATATAATACGTATCTAATAATGTACCGTTCAAAAGTTTGGTGAATAATGTTTTTGAAAGAACTGAATAGTTTTATTCAGCAAGAAAAGAATGCATTCAATTGATCACAAGTGACAGTAAAGACATTTATATAATGTTACAAAAGATTTCTGTTTCAAATAAATGCTGTTCTTTTGAACTTTCTATTCATCAAAGAATCCTGAAAAAAAGTCACAATTTCCACAAAAATATGAAGCAGCACAACTATTTTCAACATTAACTATTATAAAATATCTTGAGCAGCAAATCAGCATATTAGAAAGATTTCTGAAGGATCATGTGACACTGAAGACTGGAGTAATGATGCTGAAAATTCAGCTTTACATCATAGGAATAAATTAAATTTGACAATGTATTCATATAGAAAACAGCTATTTTAAAATGTAGTAATATTTCACAATATTAGTGTTTTTACTGTATTTTTGATTGAATAAACACAGCCTTGATATGTATAAAAGACTTCTTTCAAAAACATAAAAAAATATTTCCAAACTTGTATAAAATGTTTTTTGCCTGTTTTGGGATTGCACTATATGGTTCATTTAGATTCAAATATTAAAATCTTTCATCTTAAGATTCCCATACTGGTTCCTTAAAGAAGCAGTAAATAGTTGATTGCAAATGCAATGGACAATGAGTAACGTTCATTTTCAATGCTTGGTTTACCCAAAAATCTTGGTTTAAAAAAGCTGTATGTCTTTTTTTCTACACCAGTGTACAGTGATTTAGATTGTCATGGTCCAAAAAAGTGCCATGACACAAGTACACAAATGAGCAATTTTAGAGCTACGGAAGATTTTACATTTCATCTGTTCCTCGCACGAAACCATTGTATGATGCTTGTAATGTCGTGCACAAGTCACAAACTACTTTTGTGATGCTTTCTTTTTGGAGCTCGACAGCTAGTTTCACAGAAGAAAGGACGTCATATGGGTTTGAAACAGCTAACTTCGTGAACAGGTTTCTGCAGTGTTTGTCTAGAGTTTGAGTGTGTGTGTGAATCTCTAAGCGTCTCTTTCTGGCTTCTGTTGCAGAGATCTATCCAGAAACCACATTGCCTCTGTGGATTCCAGCCTCTTTGATCACCTCACCACCCTCAAGGAGCTGTAAGTGCCACGTCTCTCGTGCGTGAGCGTGTGTGTGTGTGTGTGTTTGTGTTTGTGCGTGTGCTTGAGACGCAGTCATTCACGTACATCTGTAATGGGTGGTCTGGTGCTTGTATAATAGGTGGTCTGGTGTAAACGTGAGTGTGTTTCTTTCTGTTAAAGCAAAAAAGCCTACTTGTTTTCTAATCTGCAACTCCTGTTCACTTTTTCCCTCAGCTATCAGGTATAGATTAATTACATTTTCCACAAAAAAAAAAATAAAGCCTCCTTTTAGAACCACTATGATTTCTTGAAATTATTTCCAGCTCATTTTCTCTCAGATTCTCATTACTGTAATGCATTTAAATATTACCATCATGTATAATTACAATCATGATTTTCTATGTAAATAATGTATCATGAGATCTTTTAGTGCAGTAGACTATTTTATTTTAAAGTGGTCATATGATGCTGCTAAAAAGAACATTATTTTGTGTATTTGGTGTAATGAAATGTGTTTATGCG